TGTGTGTGTGTGTGTGTGTGTGTGTGTGTGTGTGTGTAAAAAAAAAAAAACAAAACAAAACTAGAAATCAGTTGGCTTACAAATTCTTGAAGACCGACTTTAAGCGAGACCATAAATGATTCCAGAGTTTTCTCTCTTCTCCTTTCAACTAACTCTGGGCATTTCCCCAACTTCAATGCACAGCTCGCATTGCACTGTGTTTGCTCTCTCCTCAGAAAAGTCACCTCTTTCAGTCGCTTTTTTTTATCAACTCCTTGGGGCAGACACCATCGACCTCATTCCTGGCCTGACAGTGGCTTTGCAGGTGCACCCTTTTCTAAGAGGGTAGGAAGGAAACCGGTGTGAGGAAATCATAAAGGAACAAGTAAAACGATTCAACACAACAGAAAGTGTTAACATTTGGAGTCACCAGTAACAGACAGAACAGTCTGTTTCCTGAGGTGGAGCGACTGGAGCTGCAGTAGCACACGTGTAGTAGCCATGGAGTAGCCATGCTGCCTGAGTGCAGAGAAGGGGACACATAAACACTGAGAGTGTAAAACCACTGGAGAGCAGGCAAGTAAAAGCATGCCGCAGGACTGAGTCACAATGGGAGAGGCAGAGTTAAAAGTTGTCAGCTGGAGGTCACGAAGAAACAGTCAAGTAGAGAGGTAAAAAGAGGAAGTTAACCATGGGGCACCTGAACCCACGGGCACCAGGTATGAGCAGAAAAGTCCCTGAGGAGCTCCAGGAAGTCCACCAGACGATCAGAGCCGTCTGCATGGGGTTTCCCACAGTGAACACGTTTTGTCTTCGGGTGTGTTGAAAGCACCGCTTGGCATCCAACACAGACCTGGGGATGTCATCCTCACATTTAAAATATTACTATTTGAAAGACCTGCGATAGATGGTCAACGGTTGCAGAACAAAGGGCAGATTCCACAGCCAGAACAGCAGACTTAGCACGTGTACGGTGTGCTTCCCTTCCTTTGTGTTCTTATCACCCTCATTTCATTGCTGAAAATTCCATTCACCCATCTGAATAGTAAGGTCCTATCCAGCCCTCGAAGTTCAGTTCAGTTGAAATTGTGTCCAAAAATCCTTCCTGCATATCTCTCGTCAGAGTTCATTTAAGTCCCTGACCCTCTACCACAGCCTACGACTTAGCTGGTGCTTCTGATCAAAGGACGGTGACGAAGGCATAGTTTACCATGAAACACCTAAATTTAGAAGTGGTAGCTGACCCATCTCTTCCCTCAGCACTGCCTTATCTGTAATAGTCACCCATAAATATTTTACAAAATTAGGAAAAAAGTTAGGAGATTCAAACAACAGAAAGGGACTTGAGTTATGACCTCTAATTCCCTTGCAAACCTGAAATTTCATGACACATTCTCCCCCTTCGAAACTGTTCTGAAGAATGCTATTCACCTGTCAGTTGTTCCCGAAACCAAAAGAAATTACCGACCAAGGAATCAGCTCAGAACAAAGCTAACAGGCCCAAGAATGAGACTCCGGGCACCAGACCCATGATGCCAAGTTCTAAGGTTCTAATCCCTAGCCTGTGTTCCTGAGTTGACGGAGGTACTCGATTTCTAGCAAATGCATGAAGAACAGTGCATGAGTGAAGTGACTGCTACATGGCCACTCCAGACCTGACAGCCCCTGAGGTCAAACTGATCCTGATACGAATGACCAGAAAAGGTCCCATTTGTTTTCCAAGAGTTATCCTTTCCCATAAAAATGAGAATTCTCAAAAGAAGAATTCTTGATGCTAAATATTTATTTGCACTTTTCACACAAAAAGAAAGTCCACAGCAAACATCAAAAGTCCAGTGAGTCAAGCAAGACTCCCGCCGCACCTGGTCCTTCCAAACAAGAGCACGTGACCCCTTCGTCCGCATCGCAGAGCCTGATGGGAGGGACACAAAACCAGCGCCCAGTGACAAGGGCACATCCAGGAGTCAAGCTTTCTCAAACTCAGTAAGAGTTCAGTCAGAAAGAACACGATCTACGCCTTCCTGGGTCACAGGCTTTCGGTGTGTAAAGAGGGGGAGTGAAGTCATTCAGCAAGTGCTCAAGAAGGCCTTCCCTAGATGCGTGGGGCAGGATTAACTAAACCATCTCTTCGGTGCCTCCCAGCTCTGAACGTCTTAGAATTCTTATAGACACACGTAGTAGACGCTCTCTTGGCTCCGACCTGAAAGTGTGGCCTGAAACGTAAACAGACTTTTACAGAAAAACACCCATTTAGCAGCTATAATCCGGAGTTGGCAACAGGAGGTTTCGCCACACTGAGAAAAAAAAGTATAACAACTCTCTCCGGTGGTTGTGCTCCTTTGGGCTCCGTCACAGCTCCTGTCTCAGAGGTGGTGTGGACAGAGCGGCCCAGTCACCAGCCCATCGCGTCTCTGCCACTCGAGGGACGGGCACCCGTTTTCTACTGAACTCGCCCACAGTCTTCTGCACACTCAAGAATAGCAGGCCTCTCCTTAACAGATTTGTCCTTTTCCATTTGGCACACTCTATTTTATTTTTTATCCTTCTTCCTTCTGTTTTGCAGGGAACATAAGCCAACGTGGCGACAGGCGTTTTGTTTATTTCCTTCCTTTTCAAAAACAAAGTCGTGGTTTCAGAACAGTGATCGGCACAAGGTCCATACAGAACAAGACTTTCCGGAATTTTAGGAAAGCCCAGCATCTGCATTTTTCTTAGTTAAATACTTTGGCAAAGCCTTATCATTATTATTTTTGCTGCTGTTAATTTTATATAGTAGTAGTTTTAACGTCAAAATATCTGTACAGCCATTACAGTTTAGCAACTTCAAATGGGTCTGTATTTCATTTAATGATTAGACGTAGATACAGTTACCTTGTTTTTTGTTGTTGTTTTTTTATCCTCACCCGAGGACATTTTTGCATTTATCTTTAGATAGAGGAGAGGGTGAGAGGGAGGAAGAAATAGAGAGAGAAACATCATCGATGTGAGAGAGACACACCGAGTGGTCGCCACCCACATGACCCCAACCGGGGCCGGGGACAAACTGCAACCGAGGTATACGCCCTTAGCAAGAACCAAAACCCAGGACTCTCGGGTCCATAGGCTGATGCTCCAACCACTGAGCCAAACTGGCCAGGGCAAGTTACCTTGTTTTTAATTATTAGAAAACTGGGCCTCAGTGTGACCAGCTCAAAATGGCATAATGGAAATAAACTGCTCGACAATTATTTAAACACAAGTCTTCTGTCACAAAGTCAAACAAATTTTTTAGAAATGAAATTTTTAAACACAACGAAATTGTTCCCGTAATGATCCGAGAGAGAAGATTGACTAAGTAAAGCTTTTAATTGAGAAAATTAAATTTGCAAAGAACCAACCCCAACAACATAAGACCAAAAATATACAAAAGGCAAACTCTAAAGTTTTCCTTTTCATTTTAATAAAAATGACCAAAAGTAAGGAAAATTGATCATATTGTTTTGATTTGCAAAGGATCTCGCTGATGCATAAAATAAACTTGGTAAGACTCCTGTCCATTGCTGGCATCTGATCTGTTTTTACTAGCTTACAGCAAGATAGAATGGAGGGAGTTTGTGACATATATATTTAAGACAGAAAATCTGTAAGAGTTTTTGTAAGATCTAGCCTCCAAACTCAATTGGAGCTTACTGCTTATAGCTGAAATCTAATAATTTCAACTGATCTATTAAAAAAAAAAAAATAATAAGCATCTTCTATTTCCTAAGATCTAGAATATGAAAATATACTCTCAAGAAATCCACATGGCTCACCCCCCTTCTCCTACTCCAAGTCTCTGCTTAGGTGTGACCGTCTCAGTGAGGTCTCCGCGGCCACGTCCGCCCTGCACCCTTTCCTCATTCAGTAGCACTGAACTGATTCTAATGCACTTTATAGTGTACGTATTTTAATTACTTTTACTAGTTTTAAGAACATAAAGTGTCAAGAGCAGAACACTGACTTTTCTGTAGACGTCCTAGTGCTATCCGGCTGCTCTACAGGAGCACAGAGTCTTTGTGGAACAAATAAACCATTTCTTCCTTTGTCTCCCCCAAACCCAAAATTTCAGGCAAAGAAAGACAGACCATGGACTGACCTATTTAAGAGGTAATTTCCTAAGGCTTTTCCTCTTTAAAACTTATTATGGGAAAATTTAAACATAGAAAGGTAGATAATAGAATAAACCTCCAGCACCCCAAAATTCTCAACTCATAATGAATCCTTTTTGAACCTATATTCCCACTAACTCCCTACTTATTATTTTGAAACAACTACCAAACACCATTTCACTTGTCCTCAAATATTTTCAATGTTTCTCTAAAAGATGAGGACTGGATTTTCTTCACCCTATCTAGAGTAACATCATCACCCCTAAAAAATAACAATGGTTCTCTGATTTTGTTATTTAGGTTTCCTGCCTGATATGAAGAGCGTTTGGCTTCTTGAGTGGTGGCAGGTGGTCACCAGTGCCCCTACACGGTCACAGGCTGAGAACTACTTCTAATGTTGTTTCTGGCTCTAGCCTAGCACTCTGCAATCAACACCCTCTAGAGCACAACAGTTGCATGTAATCAATACATTTCATTACGTGCATCCTTGACCTCACTCAGAAGAGAAAATCCTAGGGTTGTTTGCTGCTGCTTTTGCTAGAAAGTGTTGCTGACCACTTAGGACCCGCAGTGACTAACGAGAGCCTTAACAGAGCAGATTTACTCACACAGAATGTCATGTTTGTGGAGAGAGGGGGAAGAAAGACAACAAAAAAGGTATGCCTGTGTCCCTAGGATAACAAGAACACATGAACTTCTCAAATGACATTCTTAAAAAATGGCTTTCAGTTTCAAAACAAAATTAGTAGGTGAAAGGACTTCTAAGGCTTCGGAGCACAAGCTGGCAGAACTCCGAGAAGCTGGAGTTGGGCACTTATTTGCCACAGAAACAATCACTGAATTCATGAGCTTCTTAGCATGGCTTATAAACATGACTTCAACCGCAGATCTTACCTGTGCCCTGAAAGCACCTTCATCAAGGGGTGGTGGCGGAGGGAAGTTTCCAGAGCCAGATGGAAGGGTACCGGGATCATCTAGAGGTGGGGGTGGGGGTGGAAGAAAATCACCTACAGAAAGGAAACACAGACATGAAGTTACTATGGGCACAGTTTTATAGGCACGCTTCAAAACACAAAGTAGCTGGTATTTTGCTGTTTTGTAATTGGCATTGATGCATAAGTCTTCGCCTGGCATGACAATTATTCCCTATCCTACTTCTCCTCACTTTAATTAGAAGCCTTCACTTCCTGAAGATTGAGGACCAGATCTGATACTTCATAGTGACATAAAAGCTAGTCTATAGGGATCAGGTACACTTAGCCAGAACAGGAAAAGTGGTTGGGTGGTGGATTACTGAAGTGTGTAAGACTTGGTCCTTACCCTCAACACACTTTCAGTCAAGTAGAGGAGGAAAAAAATAAGTACACAAGTAAGGATAATACAAGATGCAATTTATTAAGATGTACAAACAAGCTCTTCTGGAAGCCAAGATGAAAGAAACCTTATGCCCAGGTGGAGAATCAAGGCAGGCTGGACTGAGCATTTAAATTGTTCTCGAACAGGATGATGCAGAGGTTAAGTCCACTCTAGGTAGAAGGAGAGAGGGATAAGGCATAGAGATTAAAAAAAAAAAATGTTAGAGCCTACAAAATAAAGAGCAAGTGACAATATAGCATAAGTAGAGAAAGAAAAATAAACTAGTAGGTTATAAAAATTAGGACAGTGACAAAGTAAGCTTTTAAGCATGTTGTACGACTAGTGAAGAGCTTGAATTCCATCATGCGTGCACTAGGGATCCATCGAGGACTTCTGTGGTTGCTACATGGTTTACTAAAGACTAATCAAAAAGTACATGCAGGGAAGGTTTTAAGAAACAAGAATAAGAAATATTGATTTGGTAATCTACATGCAATCCAGGTAGAAAGTAATAAGGCTCTAGGACAATGAAAAACCCCAAGAGTGCTGACCAACATGAACAGCTTACTGAAGTTTGAGTTGTTGGAAGAATGTGCCTTATCGCCGATTTGAGGTATAGACATATCTCCAAGAGCTCTATGGAGTCATGATACAGAATCTTTTTTAAATACTCTGCAAGAAATTCTATTAGGAAAAGAAAACTCGCACTAAAAAAAAAAAGAATATTTGTCCTTTTCCTTTTTTTCCCCTTTAATCAAATTTATTGGAGTGACTACGTAACACATTTCAGGTGTACAGTTCCACAACACATCATCTGTACACTGGGTTGTGTGTTCACCACCCCAAGATGAGTCTTCGTCCATCACCATTTATCCCCCTACCTCTTCCACCTTTTAAAAATAATACTTTAAATATGTTGGAAACATTATTTCCTCTATGTATGGATAAGTAGCTTTTCCTTCCATTTCAGCAGTTTAAAACTTAGTGGTGGGGTTGCAGTCTCTGTCACTCAGTGAGTTGCTTTCGGATAGCACCAAAGCATCGCAAGTTAAGTCTTCAGGCAAAATTGCTCAGTGAAAGGATGATGACTTAGATTGTTTGGTCTGATACACCTTCAGATGGTTTGGGTGGGCTCCGTTTGCCTTGTAAATAGCAGTCCCGGAGCTGGGAGAATAGTCTCCACTGTGAGTCTCGTTCCCCACCAAATTCAACTATCAAGCAGCCAAACACTCTCTTTAGAGTACTCTGCTCTTTGGACTCTTACAGTGCACCAGGCGGTGTGCTAAGATGCCCATACACTACCTCTTACTCCAACAAAACTCTCTATGCTGATGGTTCTCAAACTTTAAGATTCATCTGGATCTCTGGAAAGTCTTGTTCAAACATAGATTCTTGGGTCCTACCCCCACACTTTCCGATTCAGTAGGTCTGGGGTAAGGCTCAATAATTTGCATTCTTTTTTTTTTTTTTCCTTTATTGATTTTAGAGAGAGAGAAAGGGAGAGGGAGAGAGAGAGAGAAATGTCGATGAGAGAACATCAATTGGCCACCTCCTGCATGCCCCTCCCCACTGGGGATTGGGCCCACAACCTGGGCATGTGCTCTGACTGGGAATCGAACCAGCAGCCTCTTGGTGCATGGGTCAATGCTCAACCACTGAGCCACACCAGTGGGGCAATAATTTGCATTTCTAATAAATGCCCAGGTGATGCTGATGCTGATGCTATTGGTCTTGGGACCACACTTTGAGAAGTACTGCATTAAGTAAAGTACCACATTGTTATTTCTACCTTCGACCCCAAAAGATTAGTAAAATTCAGTGACTATGTTATAAAGAAACATTTCTATTTCTCTTACCCTTCTGAGTACACTAATTTCAAGACATATTTTGTCCATATCCTTATTAGGGTTATAAGTCTCATGAACCTTTCTTAACTCCAGCCAGTAGTTCTAAACATTGCCTACTAACTAGAGTCACCAAGAAAGCTTTTCCATAGACATTGATGCCAAAACTCCATCTCACCTCAATTCAATTAGGATGATGTGGATGGGGAAAGGGAGTAGGGAGCAAGAGTCAGATGTTAGTATTTCGTTAAAACCTTATTGATTCTAATGTATAGCCAGGATTGAGAAACTCATTTGGCCTTCATTTGGCTAAACACTGCACTAAAAAATATTATAAAATCTGTTAAATACAAAGAATCGTCACCAAGTCCTTTTCTGACTTTTAAAAATCATGACAGCCCAGGCAGTGTGGCTCAATGGATTGAGCTTGTCCCATGGACTGAGAGTTCCTGGTTTGATTCCCAGTCAGGGCACATGCCTGGGTTGCAGGCTCAATCCCCAGTACGGGGTGTGCAGGATGCAGGCGACCAATGTATCTCTCTCACATCAATGTTTCTAATTCTCTATCCCTTCCTCTCTCTCTAACAAATCAATAATATCATATATACTATCTTAACATATGAGGAGAATGCACACAATGAGATCTTAAGTGATCAGCAAAGGTGATCAGGTTGATGGAGACTTAATTGTCAAATTCTAGTTCACAGCCTAATTTTCAGGTTCAAATGTCCTACCCGTACCTATGTGTTCTTCATATGCCACTTAAAAGAAGATTTCTTTTTTTTTTTTTTTTTTTATCCTCACCTGGGGACATTTTTCCATTTTTTTTGTTCAGGTAGAGTGGGAGGGAGAGAGAGGAACAGAGAGAGAGAGAGAGAAACATCGATGTGAAAGGAACACATCGAGTGGCTGCCACCCGCACAACCGACCAGGGCCGGGGACAAACTGCAACCGAGGTACGCGCCCTTAGCGGGAACCGAACCCGGGTCTCTCAGGACCGCAGGCCGACACTCTAACCGCTGAGCCAAACCGGCCAGGGCTTAAAAGAAGATTTCTGAGCATCATCTACTTCTACAAATCCTATTATGTCACAGAGAACTGTCAGCATTAAATAGGATCAGCACTGAATGAATCTTGGAGGTCATTTTATAACAGTATAAACAGAGGCCCACAAAAAGCACATAAACAGTCCAAATTTTCACATAAAATGGGTCTATGACTAGAAAGCACACCTAACTGCCTGTCTTTCAGGCCCCCTCCAACTATATACTTCCCGACTACACTTCTGTCACAGAAATTAAACACAGTGAGGCAAGGTTGATGACATGGGAGAGTGAAAAGGAACAGAAAATAAAAATGGAATGTATTTTTAAAAAGAAGTAATTTGTAAACAACAAAAATCTAGACTGTATATTCTGGGAAAAATTAGATTTTTAAAAACCCCAGTGATGACCTCATAATAATCATGTGCCTTATTTCGTTCAGCTATAAAGTTAGAGCAAAGCGTTCGGGTCTTCAAGCCATAGACTTCTTAGTGAGTTCCTCAGAGTGGAGCTCACATTTTCAAGTGACGTGCAAGAGTGGTAAATGTCTTCAAAACAGACACACGTGATACAGGAATAGAAAAGACAATGGGTCCTTTGGAGGGAAGCAAAAGTCTGAGATATTTGGAATGGAAAAGGCTAAATAACTATCACAAATCAGACTAAGAACTATTGTGAGAATTCTGACTTTAGCTCACCATTCTAACAGGCAAGTAAACAGGAAAATGCCTCTAAGTTACAGTAAGAATAAGTTCAGCTTGCCCTGGCCGGTTTTGCTCAATGGTTAGAGCATCAGCCCGTGGACCAGAGAGTCCCAGGTTTGGTTCCCACTAAGGGCACGTACCTCAGTTGTGGTTTGTCCCCGTGTGTGGGTGGCAACCAGTCAATGTGTCTCTCTCACATTGATGTTTCTCTCTCTCTCTCTTCCTCCCTCTCTATCTGAAGATAAGTGCAAAAATGTCCTTGGGTGAGGATTTATTAAAAAAACAAAAAACAAACAAACTTCAGCTTAAGAGAGAAGGCAAATTTTCCACATTTATAGGAGATGGCAAAACAGAAAGAACCGAGTGTGTGTATCTGTGTGTGTGTACGTGTTGTGTCAGTGTGGTGAAGAAAGGGGATACTTTCCATTACGTTCTTTTAAAACAAGCAGACAACATCTGTCCTAGGTGCCTAGGTAGGTGATAACCCTCCTGGAGAAAAGCAGCTGAACAGAACCAGCTGCAGTACCTTCCAAACAACTGTGTCAGGCTCTAGACCTTCACTGCAGGGCAGACCCTGAGAGGGAACTCCCAGACCCTGTGCGTCACAGGGGCATTGAACAAATCCAACAGGCAAGCCAAAAGGATCACAGCATCAGGCAATGGGGACAGTGCAGCGATACATAACATCTCAGGTAGAAACATTTGGTTTTAGAAGAGAAGTCGTCACAGACAGAGATCTATCTTCCCCCTTTTCCTGCCATTCAAAGCCCACCTCAGGCAAAGTACATGTATTCATCCATTACCAGGTAAGAAGGTTTACTCAATGTTATGCAGCTAGGAAAACACAGAGCTGGAATTGGACCCTTCCTCTGCCTTGGCGAAAGCTAGAAAGGATCTCACTCAACGTCCTCCATAGCATCTCTCAGCATTCAGCTCACTGATTTTTCCCCTTTGTACCAGAGGTAGCACCATGAGGCAGTTAAAGGGTGAGCTGGGCAAATCAAGTATTATATCCCTGATTCCCAAGTGCTGTTTATGCCAATTAACTTCAGAAAATAGC